CCTACTGCTGTGTGCGGTTGACTGTGTCCGGATCTGATTTCGCCAGAGTTCTGTGTGTCGCTGCTTCGAACAAGAGCAAAAAACTCGTCGACGCAGTTGTGCTCGTGTCGCACAACGAGGTTGTGATTGAAGGGTCCGAATTCGTGCCAATGAGTGGGCCTGAACGTGTGGATGGGTGGCCAGATTTGGTGATAGCAGGTCAGGTTCGAAACTACTCGTTGTGGCATGAGGTTGAGGAGAAAGCGGCTGACATACGGGACTGCATAGGAAACTCCTTGGCACGACCGGGGGTGTTTGTTAGGATGAAATACATGCCCGTTTTTTTGGAGAGTGCATCGATCGACAAACCGCAGACCCGCGTATACGGATCGTCACTAAATGCTTTGTTTGGCTTCGGTTCACGACGTCGTCCCGGGGGATCCCCAAATGTCGCCGCATCCGAACCGGTCTTTAGTCCTTCTGTTTGAGGGAAAAGAACGGCGAGGGACGAGATGCGGTTGTGCTGCCTAAAATGTCAGATTTGCAGGACTGCAGAGAAGTGTGAGACTCCGCGGTTGCTGGTGCACGTTGCACCGCGTGCTTGTCGTGCCCTGACATGACGAAAGTCATGTTGGACAAAAGTCATGTTGGAYGTCCGTCTCTGACGCCGTCTCCTTCCATGTCGTGCCCTGACGAAGTTCGGATCTCGGCGAACTTCGCGTTCTGGCCTCWGCGTTTATTTGTCTCTGGTGTCAATGACGTCGGGCGGGCCGCGGGAAAGACCCGTCACCTCGGAAGGATCTGCCCGTGACCGGTTTCCGGCCGTCCACCATCAACATGTGCCAAACAGTCGGTCACTGTCGTTGCGCGATGCAAAAAGCACTCTTAGAGATCCCTGTCRCAAGGTCGCGCGAGCTTCGCGTTTCCTGAAACTCGTTGGAGATCCCGGTTGGCGGGCCCTCTTGTTAGAAATCCCGTTGACACCTTGCTAGGACACCTTGATAGGACCCCAACTTTCTGTCTGTCTCTCTCGCAGCCTCTTGAAGTTCGGACCCTGGCGAACTTCCTGTGACGCCTGTGTTCTGAACGGGCGCTGGTGTTGATGATCCCCCGTGGATTGCGACACGAGTCAACCCTGATCCACAACTGCCTCTCCAGGGACTCATACAATGTTGTCGCGGCTGCTACGTTCGAACTTGGCTTTATCCAATGCCAAGCTGCGCATATCAGAAGAAGTTCGGATTTCGGCGAACTTGTCCTTCTCGACCGGCCTTTTGTGTTAGTGCGGACTTTCCGGGTCGTGGTTCAGTCCACGGACCGTGTGTCTCTGACGCCATCTCTGCCTGTCGCATCGTCCTGAAGTTCAGATCCCGACGAACTTCACGTTTCGGTGGGTGCGTTGGTTTGTCTTTAGACAAGCACTTTTAGTACGGATCTCKGCGAACTTCGCGTCCTGAGCTGTCCGGGTTCCTATTGCTAAACGGAGGACACTGCCCCGTCCAACGCGGGCTTTGTGCGTCACCTCCCATCCATTCCTGATCCGGTCGACATCCGTGTTCCGAAAACACCGACGTGGTTGTCGCCCGGCTGCATGAAGCGTGTGCCCTTGTAAGAATGATCTCGTTGCAGGTAAGAGGTCATTGCTGGTCTTCGCGTTCGAAGTTCGCCGAGATCCGACCTTCGAGGTCCTCGGATGGTGTCATGTGTCCGACGTGTTGAGGGCAAGGTGTGCCTCCTGTATTTTTCGCCTGCGTTGTACTTTGCCTGCGATTTGACGCTCGCTGGTGTTTTATTTGTTTTTTGTTGTCATCTGCAGACAATATGTCTTCGTCCAGGGGCGAAGGGGAGCCTGCGGTGACCTCCGGGATGGGATCTAGGAAAGATTCTACAAAACGGTCGTCTACGACCTCGAGGACGTGGTCCGACCACGCTAGGTCGAAATGGTTTGCGACTGGTGCTGTGGGGATGCATCAAACCCAGCACAACAGCCGTGTGGTCCTGTGATCTTCGTCAAAGCCAACAAGCAGCATAGGGTGTTGGGGGCTGTCTTGCGGTGGGAGAATACGAAAGGCAGTTGTCGACCGTTCTACATAAAAAATGTCTACGGTGCGAAGGGGAACATTGTCGCCGGTGCCAAGGGGGCGATTCTGGACATGCGTCTGTTCGAGGGGTTCGGAGCGGGTGCTGCGAACACCCCGTTCTACAACAACCTCTGGCGGCAGGGCGGGTTTGTTTTGGGTCGAGAGTTATTTGACTTGTTGGAGGACAAGGACATCGCCCTCGACGTCCCTTGCGAAGTCGGCCCCGACTTGGAACTGTCAATGCCTTTGCAGCCGTGCGGCGGTTGTGAGTCGAGCGGGGCAGCGGGGGAGGGGGGGGATCTCGGTTCCGGGGAGGCTACACATGTGCAGCGGGAGGATGCCAGAGGTCAGTTTGACGACAGCGAAGATGAGGCGACACCGCGTCCGCCGTTTTCGCCGTCGAGGGAAAGAGACAGGTCCGTGCTGTCCATACCTTGGGTCCGGCAACAGACCGCAGCGAATCCCGGAGAAGAGGGAGTCTTGTGTGGGTGTGACTAGGAGCCTGCCGAGGGCCATGGCGCGGAAGGCGAGGCCGTGGGCTGGGAGGGAGCGCAGGGCACTCCCCAAAAAAGGAGGGGAGAATGTCAAGAAGACTTAGTGGGCTCTTCGAAGAAACAGAAAATCAAGACCCCGAGGACTGCGGGAGAGAAACGGAAGGGGAGGCGAGTGGAAGAGGGTCACCCGGGTAGCAAACGTCCAGCTTCGAAACATAAACAGCCTGAGTCGGGACCTTCTACACCACAGCCTGCCATCGACGTGGACGCCGGRTACTTCCTGGAGTACAAAGACGGCGTCAGGACAAGGCGCGAGTTTGAGATCAGCCCGGCTCAGATCGTCGACATAAGGGAGTGRGAGGATCTTTACAACCARCGGTCGCTAGATCCCGTCTTCGTGGAAACGATAAGGGAAGCAATGCGGTCTGCGTTCGAAAATAAAGAACAGACATACGAGTTACCGATCTTCAAGCTCGCACCACTGGTGCTTTAAAAACCAACACTTGGACCAAGGCACAACGTCTGAAGCCGGAGGAGTGGAAGGACGAGCTGGCAGGAGAATACTACTACTACGTGGTGTGCGGGCAGCACAACGCGGCTGCAGCCAGGTTGCTGCTCGGCAGCGAGGTGGCCAAGAAGTACAATTTCGAGCGGTGGCCGACACAAATGGTGTACTTTCCTGACGATGACTTCGAAGCGTATTTTCTTGTTAGTTCACAGGATAACAAGAAGGACCTCAAGGCACCTCCCAGACAGTTGAAACTTTCTATGAAAGACATTCGATGATAGTGGAAGCATGACGGCTGCCCAACAGCTGTGATGGGGAACCCTAGCGGGAAACAAGATCAGGTCCGGGATTTGCATAAGTTTTGTACAACGACGCTCCATAAGATGCCTCAAAACARCTTATGGCTTCTCGCAGATCAAAAGGAAGAGGAGGCCGTTAAGAAGCAAAATGCTGCCCTGCGTTCTTACTTACCTCTGGCGATGGCCGGAGAAAATGTYTGGAAACTGGCCGTGGAATTTTTTGAAAAATGGGAGACGGGTAGATTGCAAAGCCACGAYGGGGCRAAGTGGATGGTAAAAAAGAAGAAGGTCAAAAACGTAAAGCCTAGGGTCGCCTACATCCACAACGACAAATTGGGCAGAACGGAGGTGGTGTACAACATCCCCGTAGACCCGCCGAATAAGAAGGGCAAAAAGGAGAAAGAGGAGGGCGATTGGTTCGTGCAAGTGCCAGACCCGGACGCGCATTGTTGGAAAACAATGGAATCACTCACGGACAATGAGAATGTCGTGTTCTGAAAAAGGTGCTTGCTTGCGAGGTCGTTTGGGTCCGGGCCGGCTTCCCGTCGTTGGCGAAGTTGGAAAAGCTCAGCGTGCAGGACATGGTGCAGCTCGTGAAGTGCGACCGCGTGCTGGTCCGGTTGTGGAATTACTACCAATTCAAGCACGAGAAGAGGCCGGACGCGGACTGGATCCAAAGGTACCCTTTCCTGAAATCGAGGTCTGTCTTGTTCAAGAAGTTTGAAGGTCAGGGATTGGATGACGAGTTGTGGGATAACAGCAGGAAACACGTTTCCGACTCGGCGCTGTTCAAGGACTGCCCGCCGTACATGGGTTGCGACCAGGACAAATCGATTGAGGTGAAAGAGAAGTTGGCGGGGCACAAGTAGTTGTCCGTCGATTTGAGAAACAAGGTTCTCTCCGTGTTGAATGGAAGCAGAGTGGAGAGCCGGGAAGTCGCACTTGCCGAAGGCGTCGTTCACATTAAATGGAAAGACACGGGGGACATGACATCCATCGCGCCGTTCGCCAATGACCCTTTAGAGGCGGACATCAGGGGCGCAGAGCTGAAGAAGGCAGTGGCTGCCACAAAGAGCCACACGTTCGTCCTCGATCTATGCGAGCTGGTTGCCCTCAAACTGTGGAAGCCCCAAGCATGGGAGACTTTGAATTCCTATCTTCAGACGTGGTATCCCTCGCATTGGACTCTCGTTGTTTTCGTGCCGCGGCAGCACAACCTGCCGTTTCTCGCCAGCATGCACCATCTTTCTTTCGTCAAGCTGTTGGAAGGGAAGTGGGTGCGGAGAGTGCAAAAAAAAAAAAGCTTCCCCGTTGGGAACAATTTGTACATGGAGGAAGACCGCATGTACATCCTCTTCAAGGGTGACGATCTGCGCGTCAACACGTCTGTGGTCTACGAGGGAAACCTGCCCACGGGTGCCGCTGCTGCGGTGCGATTGCCTCAGAGGGTCACCCAGACTGATGTGTCCGAGATTCCTTTCACGCCTTGCGACTGGTCGCTGGTGGTGCCTGAACGACAGGGCAGCGTCTACGGGGATATGAAACGCAATCCGACCCAATTCGTCGGTCTTCTTGATTTTCTTGGCAAGAAGGGAGAGGGTGTCGTGTTCCTTGGGAAAC